AAAACTGCCCCAATTATTTTGTCGACTTTGACCCGACAGGTGAGCAGCAAGATTCAAAAGTGTCGCTCTTTGAAAGGTCTGCTGATGCATGAGGAATCCATCTTTGTTGACTGTTTTACCAGAACGATAAAATATGAATTGCTTTGAGAATGAATTATTCACCAAGGCTAACATAACCTGAATGTATGGACACAGCTGTTTGAATGTGAAAACATTTGAGAATATGCATTTATTACTTGATTGTTACTTTCAGAAAAAGCTGCTAAGTACTGTGGGGAGGATGGGCAGTGGTTTCGTCACCCGGATACCAACAGGACGTGGTCCAACTACACACTCTGCAACGAAAACACTCAGGCAAAGTTGAAGGTGATATATTTAAGATAAAGTAGCCTGCTATCATAGATCTACTGCATGATGGTCACAGTGTGATGGCTCAGCATTATTTTTTCCTTTTTCTGCATGGAGTCCTCTGTTATTTGGAGCATGGGCATATGGGAGAAAATGTGGAAACTGGAAATACTGTATGTAGTCTGACGAAGTTGGCCATAAATATTCTAAGACACACCAACATTAACAGGCATTTTTTTTTCCAAAAACACATTACTCTTGTATACTGAGCTCCGCAGATCAGAGATGGAAAGTAACTTGTAAGCCCTCTGTTCCTCAGGCTTAATAGTTGTCATAAAACACAGGCCTGACAGAGGAGTCTCCCTACAAATAGCCTCGCGTTGACACCATCACATATTAACAACCTTCTTATCACCAACAGCACCAGGCTGCTGTACCAAGCCACCAACAATGTTTCCTACATAACCAGACCAGGAAACCACAGAGCTCATTCCAGTATTTGGCAATAAGGGACATCAGAGACACACTGATATGCATTTACTCACATGACTTTTAATCAGCACTCCAATTCACTTGTGTGACGACCCTCTCTGCCTGTTCGTTTGGCTGCCTTCCTTGCAGGTGTGGAGGTGGGTGTGGCAGAGGGTCGTCAGGCAGAGTGGAAGCACCTGAGGCCATTAGCAACACTGGCCCTGTGTGCCAGAGCACCCAGTATAAAAACCCCTCTGGATTCTCAGTTGGTCTCTGGCTCCTTCCTGAGACACCCATTTTGGTTTTGATTGTGGTTATGGTTTGTTTCGACACTATACAACACTGCATATACACTTTACACGCACCCACTCACTTACACTGCTGAAATGACTGACTTCACATGTCACTGTTAGTTTATGTTTGTCTTTTATATTACTTTAAACTTAATAAATAATTGATAAACTGCTTCATTGAATGCGTCTCCCTTTTTTGTCATGGCCGTTTGGCCCGGTTTGTGACACTTGTGTACAGATTAGTTACACAATTTCATCAATATTGTCTTTTAGAGAAAGTGGTTCCTAGAGGTTGGTGTGGTCATCATGATTCTATATTAATATTGTGTTATGTCATTACTTTTACATCCATCCTCATTATTTTTTTTTTAATTTGCAGTATTTTAACCAACAGCTTTGCACCTTTCAGCTGTGATGCAAGAGGTCATGAATAGATAGATGGTCAGCCGCTCACAGAAACTTGATCTTTGCTGACTCAGCCTCGCAGCTTCAGGAAATGTCGAGAACAAACAGCCTCAGCAGTAGGATCCCAAAGAGAAATAAGCCAAACTGTCCACGACTAGCTCTCAATTGAGACATGAAACCATTGGTGTAGTTTTATCCTTTGTAAGATTCTGCCTAATTTCTCTGAGTTTATCAAAACTGAGTCCTCGTGATCTCATTTTACTTTCACCAAGAGCAGATTATTAGTTGTGCATTTGGGGCTGTAGGAGCCGGGTGTGGCCTGTGTCATTTTATATGCCCTTTTTTGTCACTTCCGGTGATTGAGTCACGTGGTGCTGGGAATAGCCACAATGGGGGTTTATCAGCTGTCAGTAGAGTTAGACTAGGGGAAGGAGAGGGGGTGAGAGAGGGAGCCTTATTTTTTGTTGACCGCTATTTCATGTTATTTTTACACGTTATTCACATTAATACTGACAAATTATTGAGTTATGATTGTATGCTATCTAGAATCAACGTTTATTTGTTGCCCATAAATATACACTCGAAACTCATCCACTGGATTCCGGAAGTCATTTACGTTACAGCCAGCGCGTCCGCAAGTTTAATCTCCTCTACTTAGCCTCTCGGTGACTAAAGGAAAATTGCCGATAGTCATCTACAGGGGCCTTCGTTGGGGAGTCGGCCCAAAATGTTTATGTTTCAAAAATACAACATGTAATACCGAATGGACTTATTTTTCTTATCTTGTTTTTTACAGTCAGCGTACATCCTGTTTTACATGGCAATTGTGGGTCACGCTTTATCCACAGCCTCCCTGCTCATCTCTCTGGCCATCTTCTTCTACTTCAGGTAATGGATTCATTAGTAATTTAGCTGCAATTGCAGTTACTGGTTTGATGACGCACATTGTAATGAAAGTAATAAATATTCAGGACGGTTGTACCAAGATGAAAGCTGATACAGAGTCATAATGATAGCTTTTCAGTCAATCGTGTAGTTACTATTATCAATGGATCTGACAGGCCCACGGATGATGTTGGGCTTTCACTACAGTCTTCTCCAACCATTTCATTGCTCATGATAGGCAGTACTTTGGTCTTAATCTTATGTGCTGTCGGGGACATCCAGTCTGCCGTTGTCCCACCAGCAGAGTGAACACCAGAGGCACACAGAAGGTTTTTCAGTGTTGATCAGAGTGTTGATGTCACATTTTATAATGTAATCAAAAGAGCTGATTCACTCAGAGCTGTTCAAGGGCAAGTAACATGATCTAAAAGTCTTCAAAATTAATGAAAATAGCACACTTTGTTAAATTCACAGTAATTAGAAAAGTATTACCATCTGAGCTACTTAGCCAAATTAGTGCCAACTATCAATGTAAACATTTCTACTGCTTCACTGACTGTAATTTATATACAATTTAACTGTCGCTAATTTCATGGCAACTTGGTTTCCTTGTCCTGCACATTTATTTCATGGATATTTAGGATAGAAAACCGGAGAGCTGTGATGTCCATTGACAGTTGGCGCTTTGCTTTTGCCACAAACCTGCACCTGAGTGCATTGCTCATTAAGGTTGTTCGTCCCGATGAACTGCTTAATCGCAAAGGGACAAAGTGCGCAATTAAAGGAGATACTTCTGCTGAAATGAAACCAGAAAACAGTTCAACACAACAAAGCAGATAAAGGCAAGAAGGGTATAATATTCAGTTAATGTATGTGAAATTTGGAAGTGAGAAAGCCTGAGAATAAGTTAGCAGACTGATTGTTGAAAATGTATAGTTTAGTAAGGAAGAAACTCAATCAGAATTATTTCCAATGATGCAGTAAGGTTTATAGTTCTACAGATATCTATGAAGAAACCTGAATATGGAGCCTAGGGCGTAAATTAGTTTTATGTTCTGTAACAATATTTGGAAAAGTTTATTTGTTGGCACTGTTGTCCATGAACGCTGCAGTTGTAAAATCTGACATGGAGAAGTGTGTTGACCTCCAACGCAGCTGTTATTCAAAACCGATCTTGTTGGAGACCCTCAGTTTTATACACACTCGTAAATCTAACGGCCGTGTTTAGGGCAGGTGCATTATTGCAAAACCTCACGACCCGCTGAGAGTCCAACTCTTAACTTTTAACTCGGCTACACAGAAACTCAGCGGGACATTCACAATTCATTAAGTTCAAAGTCACGACAATTAAGATCTCAATAAAGTAACACAGTTATAGGCTTAGAAAATCTTTTGTTTTCTTTTGAACCATGACCTATTTATAGCTAAAACACTTGAAATATTAGAGGCTTACGTTGTATTATAAGATCCAGATGTGAAGCTTACACTGGTATGCGATGGTGTACAGCTGCACTACTCTGTTATTTACAACTCCACATCAACACTGTCAGGATTCCAAGATAAAAATGCTCCAGCTTGCCGTGGAAAAACAGACTAGGTTGAACAGTGCTGAAGATGTTAGGACCTGGGACAGTCCGTAAAACGCTGCCATAAGGATTCAGTCTGTGTTTTGACATCCCACTTTAGATCAAACTCTGTGTATATAAGCATTCAGCAGCTCCTGCAATTCCTTTTATGTCTGGAGCTAAAACAAGATTGTTCTCTGTCGGAGATATGCACGGCCAATGAATAAGTCAGTGAAAATGCAAAGTTGTGTATGCTGTTTTCTCCTGGCTTGAGGAATCGCAGCGGTCATGAGTCTCTGGGGTTTTTATGGCTCAACAAACATAAGATTCCCCATGAGCAATAAAATTATATTTAACTCCTTAACCTGTAGAGGACGCTCTGTGAGCTACAGTACATTTCATTGCTACGCTGACATTAGAAAACATTATTTATCCATTACCAACAATAAAGCTCCTGGATATGAATGAATTTTGATTCTAATAGATATTTTCGCTTTGATTGTCAAGCATGTCATTGTGCTATAAGGTAAAGAGATGCACCCTTGGGGTCCATTGTGAGCATTTCGAGGCCGCTCATTGATCTTCTTTTACAAACGAATTCTGAGATGATCATCAATGATTTTGATATTTTAAAGATTGCATTAAATTATTAGCCTGCCAGTAACTTTTTCTCCTGTTTATTTCATCAGTTGTAATACTTTTTTGTCTTCTTAAATGTTATGTTTGTGTGTGTCAGAAGATAATTCATTCCCAATTTTTAGAAGGTCTTCTTTTGCTTATCACATCATATCCTGGTGTGTAACAAAGTCAATCATGGCATCGCTCTTCACACAGGAGTCTGAGCTGCCAAAGGATCACCCTCCACAAGAACCTGTTCTGCTCCTATGTGCTCAATTCAGCCCTCACCATCATCAACCTCGCAGCAGTGGTCAATAACCCTGCAGTGGTTGTCAGAAACCCGGTGAGTACAGCCGCTGTCGAGTATCTACCGAAATATTACTATTAGCAAGACTAATAATCCCAGTCTGTTCGACTTGATAAAAGCTGACATGCTCACAACATCGATGCTAACATGCTTGCGTTTAGCAGGTATGTGTAGCGTGTTCACCACCTTAGTGTAGCATGTTAGCATAAAACATATAGTACAGTGGAGGCTGACTGGAATATCATTCGTTTTGCAGGTATTTGGTCATAAACCAAAGTATTGTACCTGATAATGGCACTAGAGGAGAAGTGATTGTAACAGTATTACAAATCATCCTAAAGTCTTGTGGTGGACCAATATCCCTGGAGTCAGATGTTAGCTTTGCTAAACAATGGGTTCATCCCTGTGTTCCCAGGGTATGTGTCTCTTTATATAAACTAACATTGCAGGAGATTGGTAAGGGCTATCCACTGCGGAGATATCAATGTCTTAAGTCAAGAAAACTGTCTCATCTGCAAATTTGGGCACATGAGGTTTCAATGAGTATAACACCAGTGGGCCATAAACAGTGGGGGATTTCAACATTTGAACTTGGTGAAAACATTGCTTAGATCATAAAACCTTTTGAACAGTCTCCTTAAAGAGGACTTATCATAAAAAACTCACTTTTGTAGTGCTTGTGCTCATATATTTGGGTATCTGGAGTGCCTACCAAGCCACAAACTGTGAAATAAGATACCCAGTTTTTTTTCTGTGCTGCCTAGTTCTCAAAACCACAAACATCGCCCCCCCCATCTGAGTATCTCTACCCACCGCCTGAGCTGAGAACTATACCTTTGTAAAGGTGTACCGTTATGTTCTCGCATGCCAATCAGAACGGGTGGGGGCCTTCAAGAAACAGGCGTTCAAATTGAGTGTTTCAGACAGAGGGTGAATTCAGGTATATTCAGACAGACAGTTTGAGAACTAATTAGTTTTTTCAACATTAAAGTATATAAACATATTCTAGTACAAAACTCGAAGAAAAAAAAAAGTATTAACCTGAAAATGAGCACGATATGCCTCGTTTAATATGTCATATTAAGAGGATATTGAGCTGTGGAACATTTTGACCCTGCAAACTTAGAAACGCTCAAAAAAAAAAGGCTTTTTACCAGAATACAGTGTGAGGTGGAGGATTAGTTCCACGGTCTTAAAATGAGATACAAATGCATTCACAATTTATGCTAAACCATAAAAATGCTAATGTTAAAATGCAAGGAAGAATTTCAATGAACTTTTAATAATGAATTTGCTTATGCAAGGCCAGCCGAGTTGCTCTATAGTTTAAATATTTTAAAGTTTGTACAACAGGCTTAAGTACATCCTAATTAGATTTTAATCTCACTGTGGCATATGTTGGCAGTGTTACTCAGTCAGTTTTTGCCCTCTTCAACATTCTCCTGTCAAGAGTTTTGGAGCCACACTGAATGCATTATGTGAATTCTTTGAAACCCCGAGGTCTGCTTTGGTAGAGATGATAAATCTGTCTCGTAGGAATGCCTCACTATCAGACATGAACATAAATTCACGTGTTACTTTTCAAGAACCACTTCTTTTTGGAAATAAAAATAAAGACAATCTGTTGACTCGGTGCTTGCTGCTTGTTAAAAGTTATTGGAGAGTGTTTCCAAGAAAGTATCACATCTTTCCTTTTATGTTGAACACAATAAAAAAAAGCACATTCAGGCTCCAGAAGTTCAAGTGTCAGAATATTGCCATTTATCAACTTTAAAAATCAAAAACCGTCATCCTCCCAAAATGTTAATGTGCGAAAACCAGATAAAATAAGAGAACTTTCGATGATCAAAGTGACGTACAGAAACAACTGATACGCTTTTAGAAGTTGACTTGCTGTAAATACAATCCCATTACACCCCAGTCAGCTTTCAGCCGGAGCATCTTTGGCGCGACAAAGTACTAGAAACAACCAGGAGACAGCGGAGGCTTCAGCTGGGTTTGGGTTTATTCTGCGTCCTGCTGCTGCTTCTTTTTCATGCATTCACCGAATCTGTCTGGCTCATCCTGATTGCCGTCTTTACTCACATCCCATCTCTAAATGTGTCCAAGTAGCAGCCGGGCATGACAGCCATCATCATCAATGTCAAGATATGTATAATTTTGCAATGGCTCGCTTTCGAACCTTTCTCGCCATTTATCAAAAAGGATTGTGTCGAATCTATTACTTTCCGACGTAGAACTGTCAACTTGTGCTAACTTGCTGCAGCATGTCAAAACACAATTGGTCACCGTGGCCCCGCTTCTCAAGAGGATGCAGAGAAAGAAATCATAAGCACCATTGGTTGGGATTCACGCGTGTCTGCCAAAGTGCAACTTATGAGCCTGTTTTCTGCGCTGGTGATTTAGGAAAGGTGGATTGTGGTGGAGATTTGCTCTCACAGAATTTACAAGCTCTTTTAATTCTCTCTGGTGTGGTGAGATAGAGTCTGGTTTAGCCTGCCAGCAATGTTGGGGGAGTGAATCCCCAAAGCTTATGTCAAACCAGGGAGGAGGCAGAAAACATGAGAAACATCGACATGATGTATAGCAGCTTGATTTGTAAACCAGAACAATGTCGGTAACTTTAGACAAACCTCGGTTAGCTGCAATGAAAAACAGTTGTGAAGTAGAAAAGTGCTTTTGGTAGACTGTCTGCAACGACCACCGCTGTAATGTGTGATTGAATGAATACAAACCACAATTGTCCCCTGTCTAGACAACAACCATATACATACATACATAAATACATACATACATACATACAAGTTTCTTACTTTGGTGTGCATTTCAAGAGAGGAAAAATTAAGAAATAAGATTCCAAACTGAAGCGGTTGTTGATCAGTGATTTCAAAAGTGGGAATCACTTCAACCACGAGAGGTCCATGAGCACACAATCATAAATGAGTACCAACACTATTAGGGTGATGGGTCCAGCAGTATGCAAAATTAGCAGTGGATAGACAGACAGAAGCACACGCATGCACACAACCAAAGACATAATCTCCTCGCTACGTCTGGCGGAGATAATTAGTAAAAAGTGGTTGACCTAAGTCTGCGTGCAGATACGAGTCCATGTCTGCTATAGTGCAGATTCCTCAAGTGGAAAGGGAATCAAGGGAGAAACATATGGCTAAAGGTTTAGAAGTGAATCATTGTTGTGTGTTTTGGGCTAAGAACACCCCTGAGAGCAACAGTTTATAGCAATGCCAACATCTTTGAATTATACTACTGTGGCCGCACACATGCTCTTTATACACAGGACTACAAATCAGAAATCCTGATGTGAATATATATATATATATATATTTTAAATGTATTGGTACAAATAAAATAAATTGGTACAAATACAGAATGACTGAGTATAGATTAATACCAAGGGGGCTAATATTGATCCTTGTGGGACAACTTTGTCAACTGATTTGAAACCATCTGCATCAATCAGCTGTAAGCAGAATCAGCAAAACATGAAAAGAAACTTATTTAACAAAATGTTATGATCCATGGCATCAAAAGGGACCGTTTTAAAAATACTCTACAGTATGATTTTGTGCTTTTTGAATAATTACCATAGACTCAAGAGAAACATTGGTGTAGCAATTTACTTATACATTACACATAACTGTCTAGATGAATGTTTGATTTGGTTTTACTACTTTCAGAAAGGTTGTTTCTAAGAGAAAAGTTGGGACTTTTTGAATAGACATCAGTACAGACAAGTTCATTGGAGCCCGTGTGTAGCAGTCATTAGCAGACTGACAGCTTACGGCGCATACACAAACATTTTTGCAATTATAACATTAGTAGACTGTGGAAAGATAACACTGACATCATAACATGGCATCCAAGTCATGTCTGCCAAACAATTATAATAAGGATTTACTCAAAAGAACAGAACACATAATGAGATATGTTGTCATGTTGTCACAGTTTGCTGCAGGCATAATTGGAAAATTGCATAGTAGGGTACTAATATGCACTTGCAGAGCATGGCGTTTTCTCACTTCCTTGTGCAAAGTGAGACAAACACAAAAAAGAGCACTCCAAGTACAAAGTAAAATCATCAATTCCATCTCAAATCATCTCCAGAGTGGGTGAATGAAGATCTCTGTCTGCAGAGGGTAATACTGGCTAACGGGTTTGTGCCATGAGTGCAGAAACATCCTGTGTGTTGCAATACCCAGACTACCACACTATTTAGTTCGCTAGAAAAAGATTACGTAGGTCCCAATAATACAAAGAGTGTCAAACGCAGTATGCCAAAAATACAAGTATGTCCTACTGCATTCGGCCTCATCTTACTTTTCTGGCTATTCTGACCCACAATCCTCTGCGCAGCAGATATATGAGCAAGAGTGTCGAAGTTCAAGGTGCAATGTTCTGATGAAGTACTATGTACCACTTGAATGCATACTGCATGCAACAGTACGTACTTTGTAAGGGCAGCTGCAGTATGTAGTTAAAATGTACTTCTTTTGTTTAACGCAGTGGTCCTCTTAGATATTTTGTGTGTCCTGCTGAGATGTCAGCAGTGTTTAAATTGAACCAACTTAATAGGTATTATTTTATATAGACAAAACAAATAACAAACATCCTTGTTTTGGCTCTCTCTGCAGGTTGGCTGTAAGGTGTTGCACTTCTTCCACATGTACATGCTGGGCTGCAATTATTTCTGGATGCTGTGTGAAGGCATCTACCTGCACACGCTCATCGTGGTGGCCGTGTTTGCAGAGGAGCAGCATCTGCACTGGTACTACCTCCTGGGCTGGGGTGAGTCCGTCTGCATTTGATTTTTTTCTATTTGGTTTATTGTATTATATTGTGTGTCTTTAAAAATAACATTTATGCCTTCACTGGACTCAGTCACAGCTTCAAGACTTACTGAAAACAACAAGACAGAACACATTCTAAAAGCCAGAGTTTACTCACACCCGATCCTCGTACAGTATTTCAACCTGGACATGCTGGCAGCTGAATTGGCCCTCCTGTCGCTTAGTGCTGTCCTGTTTTTCACCTTGTTCAAAGCAGGGATAATGGGTGCAGTCTGTCAAACAAGGAGGCGATGGAGCTAAATGGATGTTCAATAAAATTGGGAGGAAAACCTTGAGGCCTGTGTTTACAGTGTGTATGTGTGTGTGTTTGGAGCCAATTTAGGTCCATCTGTGGCCGATATGCTGCAGTGCCTCAATGGTGTCTGACAATGGACCACATGGATTCATGTGTTTGTATCCAGATGAAAAGTAAAAAACTAGTCTGAGCCCAAACTGTGGGGTTTTATAGACATAACGTCAAATTTAATTGGACTGTTACAGAAAATGTACCATGTGGTGTTGTTTTTTGAGGTTGGAGCTATACGATTGCAAAAAGAAAGTCGATCCGCTGTGGATCAGCCTTTCCCAGAATTCATACAGTATTTGTGAAGAGATAATGCATCTGATGAGGAAGTCTAAGACCAAAAAAACAACTGACCAAGCTAACCACACTTTTTACTGTTGCGTAAATGACAAATGAATTTCCCTAAATTCACTCAAGACCTCACATGGCCACCATCTTTTCCCCATCCAAGGCTTTCCTCTAGTGCCTGCATCCATCCATGCTGTGGCAAGGAAAAAGTATTTTGATGACAAGTGAGTAATGTTCCAGAAACTTCTGCAAATAAACAGTAGATGTTTACATACGCGCTCGTCTGTGTGTGGCAGAGAGCGAGAGCGTGCAGATCCCTACACGTGCATGTTTTTGTATGTGTGCGTGCATGTGTATTTTGGGCCGCAGACAGCACTGACTGATACGTTTTTCCTTCTGTAGCTGTTGGATGAGTGTGGAAACCCATCTGCTTTACGCCGTCCATGGTCCCATAATGGCAGCGCTTATTGTAAGTCTGCTTATCCACTGTTCCAGAGAAATCCTTTGATTTCAGAGTGAAAAAGAATATTGTTGGTCCGTTATTTTGGTAGTAGTTTTAATTCTTAAAAGATAAAATATTAGAAAGAATGGCCATATGTTTGTAGTTATTTTTTCTTATATATATAATTTTTTTTTTACTTTCTGCAGGTGAACCTCTTCTTCTTACTAAATATTATTAGAGTGTTGGTGACCAAGTTGAGAGACACACACCGGGCAGAGTCCAACATGTACATGAAGGCAGTGAGAGCCACCTTGATCCTGGTGCCCCTGCTGGGAATACAGTTCGTCATTATTCCCTGGAGGCCAGAGAACCGCCTCGCTGGCGAGGTCTTCGAGTACATCATGCACATACTCATGCACTACCAGGTAGGTACTGAGCTGACAGCAAGGCGCTGCATTCATCAGAGTACCAGGTAGAAGCTGAGTTCAAACGAGGAAAGAAATGCTGCTTCACTGCCCTTGTGGGTTGAGGTGTTTTGCACATCTGGTAACAACAGATCAGGAAACCTGTCAGGCTTGAGATTTAGACGTTAGACACTTGAATGTTTTCACTCATAAAAGCCTTTTTTTATGCCTCGTTGTTTGATTTGAGTCACTGCTGAATTACATTATAAAGAACCAGTTAGATGCTCCATTTACTTTTTTTAACTACCAGTTAGGCACCTAATTAAACAACAGGAATCAGTTCATTCACTTACCAGTTAGGGATTGCTCCACAAGATACTCTCCATACTTTAATTTTCCTTTTAAAAAAAATCGCTACGATTGTGAAGTTGCTGACTTAACTTACTGCTATTAAATTCCATTGCTTTTGAAAAAAAAATGTTGATTTTGTCTACTTGTTTTGCTTTTAAGGGATTACTGGTGGCAACAATATTCTGCTTTTTCAACGGAGAGGTAAGCACTGTATTTATGTGTATTAGCAGTTTGGCTAACCTACAGTGGGGGGGGGGCTGCAACACAATGTTGTGTGACGTTAAAGGAAGAGTTCGACATTTAGGTACTTGTGCGCTTTTTTACTTTTTTTTGTCAAGAGTTAGATGAGAGGATCTAAACCACTCTTTCATCTGTAAGCTTTAGCCAGGTGACAGTTAGCTTAGCTTAGCATAAGACTAGAAGCAGGAGCAAACAGCTAACCTGGCTCTGTCCAAAAGTTGAAAGCACCAGCACTTCTGAAGCTCAATAATTAACACGTTATATCTTGTTTCTTTAAATAGTGAGCTAGAGCTGGTAGGAGTACTTTGTTAACTGTGGGAAGAGTCAGGCTTGCTGTTTACCCCTGTTTCCTCCAGTCTTCATGTTAAACTAAGCTAACCATCTCCTGGCTGCAGCTTTATATTTAGCGGACAGACATGAGTGGTACCAATCGTCTCATGTAAGTCTCAGCAATAAAGCGAATAAATGTATAAGGCTCAAAATGTTAAACTATTCCTTTAAGAATATTGTATTCTGGAAAAGTTCAATTCTTGGTGCCATGTATGACGAAATAGCGCCGAAGCTCTGATTGAGCAATTGCCCTTTTATGAAGGTCAACCTGCACATGTTACTCTGGAATCTGTTCAGCCATGGAGCAATAAAACCGTTCATTGCTTATGTCAATAAGTTTGAGACATCAGACTCCATCAGGCAAAGCATTTTTACATTTTGTTTTTTCCAGGTCAGATCTCTGGCATCTTACATCTGTGCCTGATGGCGTATCAAGAAGTGACCCAAACACTGACTCAAAGTTGGGTTTTGACATTGAGTACTCAAGTAAAACAATTGTAACTTCACAAAGATGTTACATCTGCCATAAGTCCAATTGTAACAGGTTATAAAGCATTGTCCTACTCGTCTCTTCTGATCTAGTGCTGCGGCAGTAAAAGCTGAAGGGTCATGTCAGGTGAAGAGTAAGACAGTTTATAAATGGCTGTGTGGTTTCCAAGCCCAGCTGGAAATTGACTCTCCTTTCAAGTCCTCCTGTCAGCCTTTTTAAGTCTGTCAGCAGCTGTCTGACTGCGAGCATCCTTAACTTGGATCAAACACAAACGAATGAGTTAGATTTCCATTAAAGCCCAGACCTAAGTTTAATGTTGTTGTGAAGACCTTGCAGCTCCATAGACTAATTGTGTGACAGATGCTTTCAAACCCAACGGTCTTGGCAAAGTAACGCACCAACAATACGTGCTGTAAGGGGACATTTGGCATTTTGAGCAGGTCCCCATGGTGGTGTGAGTTTCTACAGACAAACTTTTACTGTGTTTAAAAGCAATATGCGTTAAAATAACAAGTGAAATACTCCGTCAGCCAAAGAGACAATGAGGTTGTTTAGATGGACAGAGACGGGGCAGAGATGCCTAAACTGACTGCCTGGAACAGAGGAACGAGCAGTGGAGTTCAGCCTGGAAAATAGGTCAGCTATTAGAACTTACATGAGCGGAGAATGCCTCCGCTTATTCGTAAACAATGCAAACAATGTAGGGCGTATACACAACGTGTAGAGCATGTGTTTAAAGGACGAGTCCACTTTCAGAGTGATGTGGGGTCAACTAACACAAACTATCACAAGGGAATGAGAGGGTTTGCTTACTTCACCCGCATAATGACCAATTTAGCTCCCTTGATCAGAACACGGGTTTCTGGGGCAGGTTTCAATTATGTTCTTTGATGTAAAGGCCAAACTGCACAGACCTGCCTTGTTTCCCCAATGGGCCCATTGTGATGTCGGGTCAGTGAGACAAACAGCTTGCATGCTGTTTTTGTGACATCAAGCAAGACGTTCTACATGCGAGCTGTAAGCCCATACTGCTCTTTTGTCTCATTATAACAATTACTGTCATAATTCCCATCATTAGATCATTAATATACCCGCAGTAACTACAGTAGTATTTGGGTGTTACAGAATCAAATAATGAATGTTGCATTGCTGGAGGATTGGAGCTGTGGTTTCTCTTCTTAGGATTTTCAAGTTCACACACAGTAAACACAATTGATTAGTTCAACAGAGAGTCAACAACATTCTTGGTAATCAATCATTGATCAAGGAAGAATGTCAAACATTCACTGGTTCCAGCTTCTCAAATGTGCTCCATTTCACTTCCCTGACAAAACAAATAACACATTATTCCTAAAGCCCCACATCCATCTCACAACAATACTAGCTTCTGGGCCGGATTGGACACCCCAACACACACACACACACACACACAAACATTACCCAAACCCATAATGTCCAGGAATCAACCAGTATTTCTACGCTACAATAGGTTTTCTGTATGTCAATTTACGATAATTCATAAAATTTGTCTTTATGAAAGCATACTATTAACATTTTTGACGCTGGGCCCCTCTGTAAAACAGGAAAAGAGTATTTGGTAAAAATGCAGAAATCACCTTACGGCATTTACAATTTCAGTTTTGAAGTGTGCTTAAGTGGTGCATTGTACCAAAGGAAGTAATTGCAACACAGCTGCAGGTCAAGAACATGTCACCACTACAAAGATGCTGGTTATTGCTAGTTTCTGTCTGAAAAACATGAAAGGATTCTGTTCAGAGACGGAGTCAATGTATCATCAACTAGAAAAGAAAGACAAGCGTAATAAATTAGAATATTGTAATTTTGCCATTTCTGTATTTATTGAATGTTCAGCAGGTGCTCATGAGCAGCTGGAGTTCCCTCGGGCATTTAGGCTTCTGGAGGGTGGAAAGTGTGTTGTCATTCTGAAGTTTACTAAACTTCTGAAAGGGTAACCATCTTACAGGAGAATTAAAGGTGCTCTATTTAACATTCAGTGCATTAACAAAGCAGCAAACAACAATTAGCTGTGTAAAGATGTAGTGGAGTAATGTCTACCTGAGCAGAGAATGAAGTCACTCTACCTCTGCGTGTGTTGCTTCTCCTTGGTTTGTTGACATTGCCGGACCGGCCTTTAGTGCATGTTAGTGCATGTGAGCGTGCCCCACTGGTTAGCTCACGGCCGCTGCTCTGCACGGCTCTCATAAGGCGGTTACAGCTGATGACGTCATCCTGTCAGAAAGCATCGTCATGAAAGTTTAGCGTCCACCCTTCAGTTCCTCCGAAGGTAAACACTGTTAGCTCTGTCGTCGTTTGCATTGTTAGCACAGATGTACTGTGGGGGAGAATTTATATGTATGATTAAATAATTAATATAAAGCTGAATATACATTGCATTGACTACCTTTTAAAACACGATGATCTGGCCATGTGCACAGCTTGGCCACATTCCAAGAAATGTGACTTTGGTGTTTGCGTTTGCTAACTGGCGTCTGTTAACGTGACGGAGTGATGTACACATGCTGCAGCAATTATGCTTGCATCAGTTAGGATCACCGTCGGTTGGATTAATATTTTCACAAGATGGTGTTTACATGGGCTCAGCCTTACGCACATGTCATAACCGCGATTTGATTTGCATGTAAATCCGTCTGGTGGAATCATTTTCTGGTCAAAGCAGATCAGGAAAGCAAAACAAGGCAGTTTGGAGAAATGTTTGTGATGTGTACACAACACATAGCTCAAGGTGACAGCACTGAGATGTGGTCTTATGGAGTATGCAAAGACAAAAGGTTTATGTGAGAGATGATGGATGATGACTTTCATCATCTCTTTTACCTGTGTGCTTGTGTGTCGCTCAGGTGCAAGCAGCTCTAAAGAGACAGTGGATGCAGTACAAAACCCAGTGGGGTCAGAGACGAAAGGACCACTGCTCAATGCGCTCCACGTCCTACACGGCCACCTCCATCACTGAGGTACCCGCCTTCATGTACCACCATGACTGTAACAGCGAACACTTGAACGGCCGCCACACTGAGGACTCTGAACTGGTGGCCCTAAAGTCAGGAGAGACATACGCTTGAGCCCCTGAGCCACAACGGAGGATAAAGAGTGTGGCGGCGGGAACAGCTGACGACGAGCAACTGAGCAACGGAGATGTACAGTAAGAAAGGAAAATCCAGTTTGCCCGCCATATCTCAGTGATTAAATCTCAGAGACTGACACGGGTTCGCTCACCCGAGGACGATGATACAGGTCCTGATTCATCGGGATGGAGACGGATTAGCTTCAAGGCTGACATTTCATTTTACTTTACTCTGATGTTGTGTTTGTTTTTCCGAGAACTTTGATGTCAAGAACTTGTGGCATGAGACAAGAGCTGCTTCTGACACGTGTCACTACCTAAAGCTGCTAAAACTATTGTGAGCACACTCTCAGTGCGACGGAGGCTGGTGCTGGTGTGGAGACAGAAATAACTGTGATGAAGGCGGCGGTGAGGATGGTATTTGTTCTGATTTACATGCGGTACAGGTGAATAGTGTTTTCGATGGTGTCATGACGATGATTTTTAAGGTGAAGTAGAAGAAACAATCCTTCCTAACCTCACCTATACCAAAAGGTACTGTATGTTGGTGACAGCTATGAGGGGGCGTACCATGTCCAGCTGAGCACAGATGAGGTACCCTGAAGCTAAAGACACACACATAATCTAATATAATAATCTAATAACTAATTTCACAAACCTGATCGTATGTGCAAGGAAAGAGGTCAAATTTAAAAAACAACTCTGCTTGAAGCTCTGGAATTGTGTACATAATGTATGTTTCATTTGAAAAAAAAGTGTTTAAATGTTTTTAAAGGATTTTATTTTTGTTTATATTAATATTTTAGTCTTGCCAATTACTAAGTATGTGCTAAGTGTGTGTCCTGTGATGCTGCACTACCAACTGCTTTGTTGTTTTTGCAGCTGCTGTATTTGTGCCGATTATCACAGGGCTAAGAAGCAAAAAGAAGCTAAATGCACATAAAAAAAATATATGAATAAAAAACTTTATTTTCAGGTTGAACAGCCACAAGAGTTGTTTCACTGCATATGACTTAAGTATGCTAACAGTTGTGCTAATGGTTCTGACAAAGGGGCAGTTCCTCTGCAGTGCGGAAGCTGCACAGATTTCACTCACGATCATCCTTTGTCACGCTCACGAGGCCTTTAATCTATCCCCCTCTTTCTTTTCTTTTTTTTATTCTGTCGTCGGTGCATATTTACTCATGAATATGGTAGCATTGTTATTAATAAGCATCCGGAGCAAAGTGAAAGGCTAGCTAAAGATGAAATGATGAAAAGGTCACATTCATACTGTAAACACAGAGTCAACACATTCATATCTTCAAGGCATGTTCACATCTTGCTCATAATTTAGCATGGACAGCAAACATGAATAATCTACTCTTTGTCCTAAATACGTTCATATGACTCTATTGTCATTTTATTGTTGCTTTGTCATAACTGTGCCATAGGATTGTAGAGGATGAAAGTTAAGAGCTAAGTCCACAACGAGTTTGCTTTGTATCAGTATAGCCACCATTTCTAAAACTGAATTCAGTGACTTGCATATATCTATAAAAGTTCCTTAGAAGCCCAAGGAGCTTCTAAACTGCACATTTAATAGCAGTCTAATAGCCAGGTAGAAACATGTATTATCCTTAAGCATACAGCCAATAAAGCCTCTAGCTGATTAGTTTGTTGCCACTCACTTTTTACGTACTGAAAGACACGGAGAAGGTGCATCTTTGAGGGTACAGCTAGGATATTCTATTTTTCTGTTATTTTGTTAAATACAGTTTACTTGTTTTTTAAAAGCAAAGTAATTTTCTATAAGAGCAGTGCATTATAGTTTTTGCAAAAGTTACAAAAACAAGAGTAGGGAGTGTGTTTGTCGGGGAATACTTTTTCATTAATACACATTTGGTTCACTGGTGAGTATTTACAGCAGCGGGACGATGTATAAGACAGAACCCTGGGTCGACTAACGACGAAGAAATCACAAGAATGCTTGAGTTGCAAAAATAGGTTGAGATGCTTTTATTTACAAAAAAATTGTGAAGAATGAGAAATTGGACGTTCACAGCAAAAACAGAAAGACCAAAATGATATGCAGTTCACAATAGACGTTTGACAGTAGACAGATAATACAATACGTCATTGTTGGTTTAGTCGCTTCATGGGATTTGCTGACAAAAACAAAGATACAGATAGAAATATCACCAGACTTTTTGGAATCATTTTAAACCTAATCTGAGATGACATGTTTTGTTCTGATCACAGACTCACTACATTCTCTGTCTGCATGGGTGCTACTGTGTTATTATCTGTTGAATGTCTGGTCATAATGTACGTGATTATTTCTATTCATTATTGTCAACTGGGAAAAACAGGATTTGTGTGGGACATTGGAGGGTTAATATGAAGTATCGTTTGAAATGTGTTTTTTTCCATGGACCTAAAGTGTCAAGCTTATACAATTTGCACATTTAGTCAGAATGAGGCTCTGAAGTTGATCTTTACAGTATTTCAGTAAGTTCACATTGTAATAATTGGCTTATTAATCACATTAATATATAATTAACTATAATTAAAGATATATTGTCAAAGCGGAAAGCACAATGTATCTAGATAAATAGCGGCATCCAAAAAAATCACCAGTGGAGGTGAACACTCATTGCGAGCCAATAACATTGAATTGGACTAATTCGATTAGATCAAATCAAATCATATCCAGTTATAAAAGTCAAGAATGCAGCTCTTTACAAGATGTGAAGTTTAATTTACCAACAGGAAATACATTAGCCTCCCAAGCTAATTTTTTTGTAGCTACATTCCCCCTAATCTCCTCCTGAATGAAACAGTCAGGGATTATAATATTATAATTATATGATCATATTATAATATTGCAATATTATATTTCAAATACTTTTTTTTTTTTTGCGAGCCAGGTATAAAGAAAGAAACAGAGACAATCAATATGAGAGACTGACATCATCGTATGATGGAAGAGTTTGTTTTCCCTTTCCCTAATTTTAAAGTATCTTATTTATTTAGTTTGAATTTCATCTTCATCACGGTGATTTGTCACACTGTAAGATATACTGTACTATTAATCTTTTGGGGTTTAGGGAAGACTGATTCTGTATATTTTGTATGTTCAGGCCATGTAAATACGAGCAGACACTGTGTTTACGATAGATTTTTGCACTGTGAAATACTCTGACAGCTATTTTTGTTATGTTCTTGTCATTTATTTTGGCTTGTGTTGATCTCCTTCTCCCTCTCAGCTCGGGCCTGCATCATCTCAAAGCTGATAAAAACAATTTGCATTTTGTAAAACCAAATTGATTAGTGTGTTTTTTTAAAAAGAATATTTAGCAGAAGAATACAGACATAAAAGACTCTTTGGTGTCACTCTTTATTTTCTGAGCACAGAGCGATCAGAGACACAAGCGACATGTGTTTGCAGAATAAAAAAACATGAAAGAATTTAGATGAAAATGGACAATTTGCACCACTTCTTTGATGATAAAAGTACTTTTCGATCTGTTGTTTTAAAATGATCTAATAAGATCATGGACTAAAGCAAGAAGAAGAAAAGAAAAAAAAAAGTTATTTTTTACAACCACCGCGACACAAACTTGGTTTTCAAGCATTTCTGCAGCAGCATTTTCCTCGCCAAGACTATTCTTGTCAATGTTTCAGGGTTGAGAGATTTTGTATAATGAGTGTGCAGGGAACTTACTCCATTTGGGTGTCTTTGTTATCCCTCGGTCTTGACAATGTCATACCGCCCCTTTTAATTCTAGAGGTTCAGCTCAATTCACATACCAGCACCAGATGTGTGGAACAAGAGAGAATCGACCGACACAGTTCGTCTCAAAGATGGATGGCCGCTTTTATCCTGATAAATGAAGGTTGTTATCACACCAACAAGGCAGAGTTCTCCTCTTTATGTCAAGATTTTTTTAGCTTTTCTATAGGCAGCTATAATATGCAATTTCAGGCTCTGCTGAATGCTAGTGGTACAGCCAAGTGAAGGAGACGTACTGCCCTCCTGCATATTCACAGCCCTTCTGAGCCCATGATATTATAATAAAATGATGAAAAAGTTAGATGTGTACTTCTTAGGGTTAGGGTTAGATATTGTCCCCTGACAACTGCATAACGCCAAATCCATCAAAAGCAATCTTTAAATGAAAATATTCAATGCAAAGTCTGAAATTGGATGCAAACTGTATTGCGTACGAAGGCAGAGATTGAGGAATTATGCAAAAACAAAGATACAATGAGGGTGAAATCTCCATATTTGCCATAAATCCTCCTGTTATGGGCTTCTCCTCAGCAGATTCAATGGAACAGCAGAGCAGAAAGTTAGAGGAAGGAGCCGTAAATTGCATTGAACAGCCTCCATCTTGAGAGCATGTTTTCCTGGGAAACTTCAGGAAAATGTCATGGCTTTTTCAGGCATTTGGGAAAGTTCCCTGACAGCGACAATCTCGCAGGACACCAGACGAATCCAAGAATGTGTCATGTGTGCTCAGGAATCGGCTGTGAAAGTGAACGCGTGCTTGGTTTTACTCACTGGAGTTAAAACAGGAGATGACAGTAGTCCAAATATACATCTATGTTTAAACACTCCTAAGGGGAGTGTATTTCAGCTGTCGCAGACAGAAATCCGTTACAACTCAGCCTCACTCACTGCAGAAGGCACAAGGACAATGGAGAAAGGACACATTTTGGTTACGCACAAAGCCTAAAGTAAGTTGTCCAGGTGTGTTTTTTTTTTTTTTTTAAATAAGCCCGTAGTGGGTTTCTATACCTCACCTGCACATATATACTGTTTCTATTTACCTTTTTTCTGTCCGACCTTTCCATGAAAATGTGCATTTGCCTGCATGTGGTATAGCCAGCTTTAGTATTTTGAGCATTACATGAGAGGAAGGAACCCCTACTGTGTTCAGTGCGGCTGTCTTAAAGAAAATAAATCAAACCATCAAAATCTCCTCTCTCTCAGGGACTAATCTGCCGCATCGTCTCTGTCTGCTCATGAGAGATAGGACTCTTGGGTCGTGATGGGATTTAACAGCAGTGGCTGCATTCAGGCATTGAAAATTGCAACTTTTGCATCGGGGCGGAGCACTGCACGAAAGGAAGGACGTGGAGGAAATATGACAATTTCACAGCAGAAAAATTCAGTTTTTACATTCAAAATATAATGAGAAGTACATCAGCCCCAGAAATATTAACTGACTAATATCAGAGACCAACGTGTCGTCCGTGCTGTGTTTTCAACGTGACACAATCTTAGCGCTATTCCACATTTTAAAGGGCAAGTCAAATTATTCACAAACCCCAGAACAATCAAGGTTTTTATTGAATTTTTAAATTGCACTCGATGGTGTTTGCAGCTTCAGGAAATTAGCATCCCACCGGAAGTCTATACGTAGTGAGGAGTAGAGATTACTTAATGAAATAACTCAATGCAAGGCTCGTAAATTATCATTTTGAAATGAGCCTTGTGTTTTCAAACCCTTTGATGTATTATTGGAAGACAATGCTCTCTGCGTGATTATTATCAAGGCCCTCTTGATTTAATCCCTTTGATATTTACATAAGTGCTGAAACAATGCCCTAAGGCCTAAGCAGATCACAGATCCACTTGTGACAATATCTACTGGCACATTCATCTTAGTATCATATTTTTTATCGAAGCAGGGGAATGAAAGACCCGAGGCGTTGTGGTGGCCGTGATCTGTAGAGTTGAAGAAATGAGAAATTAGAGATATTCATGCATGTTCTTATAACCTTCGAGGGGTGAAGGATTGATCCATGTGCTGATGGCTGCTGCATATTGTGCCATGCAGCTGCTGACCCCACTTAACTGAGTGATGTAGTCTAAAAAAAGAAAAAACAGTGAAGAAACCAGTGAATATCTGCTCAATCACAGTAGAAAGCCTAACACAACCTGATGGTGGGGAGTAGATCTAAGAACACAGAACGATGGGCTTCTTTTCTTGTTTGTTCTAAAAGCAGCGGTGAGCCTGTCAGTCTGCCCATCAGGGCTTACAATAAGTCTGAGAGACAATAACCATCGCAGTCGTGTCTCACTAATAGCCCTTGTTCCCTAATTGTGCACTAATGCGATTTGTGAGGCAAATTATTAATTATCAGGGCCCTTGATAGAGTACATGCTGTGGCGGTGGAGAAGCTTTCCATGAAGCAATTTATTTTTGCCCATCCTTCGTTGAAACTCACATCTTGCTCGAAAGCATTACCGTGTTTCTGTGTAGGTTAGTTTCAGCACTCCTCCATATGTACATATGCAATTCTTCACAATGTCAAAATATTTACTCGCACAATGCAATTTTCTAGATTTTGGGGAGGCAGAGCACATCATTTTTTTTTTTACATTTTTATATTTTTGTTTGGCAGTGTAGAGCAAATTAATCCATCCATATTTCTCTCTGTCCTCAAATGGTTTTAAAATGCAGGAGGTTTTCCTCAGTCATGTGGAACGCATCAGTGTAAACATTCAGTCTACGTTTACACGAACCAGGACTACAGTTCATAAAGTGAGTTTTTCAAGGATTGAAAACAATTTGATGTAAAATCAAATTGAAGGACATTGTTAACTTTAATCCTCCTGTTGAGCGTAACCAAAAAGGTAATTTGCCTCTTAGACCCTGTTGTCAACCACATTCACTCAAAATAGGGCTGATTGAAGCACATTATTATACAATAGGGTGTAACATTGATCCACACTGAATATATGCTCTGGGAAGCTTCACTAAGCTGTTTCAGTCAACCTACAAAAATCTCTCATCCCATGTGGCTAAAATACAAGCATCCATAACCCTTGAGCCACAGATTTCAACATCTACTATGCAGTAATACGGATATTCACCAGTGTTGTAATTCTTTGACACACAGAGCTTAAAGCGACACAGGCAAAAACCAAAGTGCTTAAAGTTAAGGGACCACGGAGCCTCGTTAAACGCCGGGTTAGCGGCCAACGTTTCCCTTCCATCCATAAGCTGTGAGCTCGGATTTTCCACGGTGCTCAAAAGCGTTTTATGAGGGGTCCCACCACAGCGGGAGAAGCACTGACTTATTACAGTTTTATTACCCCTACAGCGTGAACTCAAGTGAGGGTTTGAAGAGATACAGCTTTTAGAGGCATGTGGAAATAAGAGACAGACTGCCTCAGAGGTAGAGGAAATAAATTAGCTGAAGCAGAACTGAATAGATATGGATCAAAGAAAAGCAAGAGTCTTTGAAAAAGTTAGATAAGGGATTTCAGCATGAATTCAAATGCTAAAATACCTAATTCAAAAGTTCAGGTCAAGCTCATATTGAATCTTCAATTATCCATCAACCTGCACCTTCAAAACGTGCAAATAACATGTTAATCAGCAAAATATGTCCCTTTTACTTCTTGTTATTTTGTTCTGGCTTCAGGGGTGCTGATAATGCTAAGCTAAGCTAATCCCCTGTTGGCTGTAGCTTTATCAGTCAGAAATACTGGTACAAATGAGTTTAGTTGCTCTATTTTAGAATTAAATAAAAGTGTGTATATATATATATAAATATATATATATATAGTTATAAGAAAAATTTAAATAATTATGGACAAATTTGTGAATTGCACAATAATATACAATGAATATGTAAAAAATAAATTAGAAAATAAATAAGTAAAAATATGTATACTACAATATTCAACAATAATGTAAGTATTATCAATGCTGTAAAATGGGATCTTTAAATTTAGTGTACAGATCTTCCATCTAACTCTTAAGTAAGAAAGCAAATAGCATATTTCTTTAACTGTTCATTATGTGGGCTACATAATGTCTATTATTACAGTGGCCAATAACTCTTGCAAGGTACATTTGGCATGGGAGTATTCTATCGAGATAGACTTGAAAAAGTCTGAACCCACATTAGTGTCAACAAGATCTCTTCTCATTTAAAAAAAATACATTAAACATACAGTATACCCAGACGTGTGTGATATGTTCTATTGATAATAAATACATTCACGTGCGTGTTTTAGCCGCAAATAGATCCTCTAATTGCTTCAACATAAACAGCCCACACACTCGGCTACTTCAAGGCACTTTATGTACTCCGGCTATAAGTCACACACTTAAAAGGAAGTGTGTGTTTTCCCCCTCAGGGTGATATAGCTCAGCAGGTTAGGAGGGGACAGCCAGCCACAGATAAGGCATTGTTTACTGTCATTCAAACCTGCCTGGGGCGCCCTAGCCGGTACACACGCATCACCACATCACCTATAGCAAGCTTAAATCGAGCCCAGATAGCACCAATCTGTCTCACTCCAAAGGTGTTAAAATGTCTGCCGTAGTGGTAGATTAACATCAGCGAGGGCCATGCACACGAGCAACAACACACACAACCATGACAATCGAAACGTAGATATGCTAGACCAGAGCATCCCGAGCACGGAGACAGGACTCAGACCGGGACAAAGTTGAGCAGGATCAGATTACCCGCATGTATTTATGAGATCCTTCTCTTGGGTTTTGCCTAAATAGTGGGATTGGTTGTGTGCATACAAGCCAATTCGCTCACACGACGCTGACAAATACACAAGGCTGCAAATATTTTAATAATTGGGGGAAAATTCAAGCACATGCACAAGACAGATGCATAATGCATCCGCTTTAGTGAGTTCACGAAGCAAACCTCAAGTTAATCCTGCAGTTAATTTGAATATGTAAATAATACTGGCTGAGGCCCAAGTGGGATTGGACGGTGTGATTTATCCGAAGTAGGTCTCTGTCTGCAGTTTTCTATCATCCACGGAGTATAAAAGCTGTCAGAGCTCAGTTAGCCAGCACCATCTGTGTGTCTGCTTATAAGACTCATTCTCTGAGCACACATCTAAACCCTCAGGATTGCCAACATCATGATCAATAATGGCCAATCACGGATGGCACATTAACTAGGAAATCAAGAGGGCTGTCGGTCATCTTGTTCAAAGTTGCTTCAAGGCAGATGTCAACAGACTGAACTCAGAAAGACTGTATGTGTCTTCCGGAGTGCTGCTGGGTGGGTGTTTCCAATATAACCTTTCCATACATGTTTAATAAAGGATGAATATGGTTTATTGCATCTTGGATCTCATCATACTTTCATCCTTGGCATTTGGAACTGCATTTAAACCTTTAAAGTCAACATAGATGATTATTTCTAGTGGTGAGGATTATTGGAAACTCTGTACATCTGCAGCTTCTGTACAATCTAGAAGGTTGTATTTATCTAGAGACAATTATATTAAGGAATCAAGCATTTCCAGCAAATATGGATGCAGTTGGATGTGGCTGAAAAGGCTTTGCTTTTTGAGGGAGCTCTCAAGGAATCCGAGCAGCAACGAGATTTCCGACGGGAGAACTAATCCCGCCTCAGTAAACACACATGAAAAGCTTGTTATTCTTTTGCGCCCATCAGACTTCATAGTAGCAATGTCGCCCTGTTCCCGGATCTCTGCCTCATGACTTTGGTGACACTGATGTTTTCTGAGCCCATAGAAATGATGGCCATAACTACGAAAATATTAGTAATGATTAACTGGAATTATCTTTGACGTCCGTTCTTTAACCCATGCTATGAGAAAGGCACACTGCAGGGGAATAGACACATTAGCGTTCACTGTGGTGTGTGCATCATACTGCATATATTACATGTTATATACTTGAGTTATAGAACATATTACTTATATATATTTTGTATTTCTATATCTCTCTCCCTCTCAATCTCTTCAACACACACACTTACACACTGTCAGTATGGAAGCGAAGCAAAGACGGTGTGTAATTGCTGTTAAAAGAAAAGCTTTCACGGTATGAGGTTAGCTCTGGACCTGTTAAACCTTCATTTGCCGTCGCCTTCAGTCTGAACTCCCTGATGTGTAGGCCATGACTTGCCTCGGAGTAATGAGAAACAGGGAAATCCAGGAGGAGCATGCTGGGCCTTATGATAACCCAATGATTGAAATGGAAGGTACAGTGTACAGATTGTATTACTAAAAGCAATGCGAAGGAGCCTTTGACAAATTGGTGGGTGAAATATTGGTCTATATGGTAAAAGTGGCTGTGAAATGCATTTTTCCACAGAAGACAGAGAATGTAAGCAGGTCTACTGTCCCTTCTATGATGAATCGCTTTCATTATTTTACCATCAAGTAAATATGAAAATACTGTAATCATTTCTGGGTCACTGTATCGAGGCTCTCTTGTCAGCATAGTGTAAAAGTGAAGAAGTGGCATCTTTCTTGTAACGTGATGATGTTTGATTTTTTCTTTATTGCACTGGAAGTTGTAGACATTAATTTCCAACCATTTCAGCCATCAAGCAAAAGAGACAGAATCGAATCAAGTCCAACATTAGTGACCTTCTGCAGTGGCATCACAGTTTCTTGTGCTCCATTCTGTCTACGAGTGTTATCTAAAGGGCAAAAATGGGATTCCAGTATGTAGATCTAAATTCTTGTTGCATCTTTGACTCTGAGCTCAGGATCAATAAGGACAATGTTAATGTCATTTAAACGTGCAGTAATGGTGAGTCTGTGTGTTTCAACCTTCAGGTCAAACATGTTTCTTAATCACAAAGAGTGGATTGTTTGTCTGCATTATGATGACTATGGTCAACCCTGCAGATTGTTAATATTGACCCAGACTGTGTATACATGTATCCTCACAATACAATACAACGCTGCCCTTTTATTATACTTTAAGTCAACAATACATTGGAATACACACGACACTCGTCAGAAATATTTGCATATTTTGAACCCTTGAATAAACTGCAAACACGATTAGATTTGTGAGACACTGTAGCGGATGGAATACAAAGACTCTCTCCTTTGTTATCTGTCTCACTACTCAATAGTCATCACGGTTTGCAGTGTTGTGAAAGAGAGGACACAAGAGGGTGGGGCCCATGAAATTACATGCATGGCTCTCTTATCAGGCACAGTGGATGTGAGTCATTTGCTATTAGGAAATAATGCCAATGCAAGAATATTAAAATCAAATAAATATTCTGCGTTTTGAAAAGCGGCCTCAGGACACTGATGTTTAAAGTTCAAAGTTTAAAGTGCAATGCCATAAAGAAATGGGATTCAAGGATCATTTGTTGTTGTTGTGCACCCTAAACAGGTCGCCAGACTATTGCAGGGCTGACACATACAAACAGACCTACGGGGGACAGAGTCATCCTGTCTTATTTTATTTTCGTGTACAGAGCTGCCCTGAAATACCTATCCATAAAACTTCCCTATTCTATTTGCTGATATTTTAATTGACAGCAAATTACCTTGAACTTTGAATTGACAGCCCCGTACCTCTGCGGTATTAAGGAGCCCTAATGTGTCCTGAAAGGTTTTCTGGCCCTGCTCATGTCTTTACATTCAAGCACAGCTAGTCAAGCAACAAATTAGCAGCGACTGGTGGAACACGATTCTCAGAGGGCGGCCGTGAAAGTTCATGCAGCGGAGTCCGACATCCAATTAGCTGCTTCAATCCGTAATACCAGTCAATAGGAAGGGAAATACTGGCATTATGTCCATTAAATAGTGAAAAATAACAATTTTTATTGAATGGATTGGATTTGAATGAATAAATTACCCCTCTCATGCATTCTGCAAGTTATCTAAAACTATTTCCGGACACTAAAGAGCCCATATTTGCAATTGGCCCGATGTAATTCTATTTTGGGCTATAGCAAGCAGAACCATTTTATTAGTATCCCCAATTTGCCCAGTGCAATAAATGGCATACTCATTTTTGAACCACAAGCCATTAAGACTTTCTCGGCTCAATAAGGTTTGTGTGGTGACGGGGCTGAATCAATAAGAGTGCTTTTAGAAAACGCTCTGTGAATACACCGGGCTGTCATTATGAGAGAGCGAATGATCTGAGCACATAGGCCCCTAGCTACAGTTTTCGATTTTCTGCTCTTACAGAGTGAGACACTGAAATTAAAAGGTATGTGTGTGTGTGTGTGTGTGTGTGTGTGTGTGTGTGTGTGTGTGTGTGTGTGTGTGTGTGTTTACCCGGATATCTCCTGAGATGAACCCTCTTTCTTTTCCTCTCTTCTTTGTCAGATATGTGACAGCTGACCAGACAAAGGGGTATATGAAGCTATTTAGCATTTTATTTAATTTTTACTCTAATTATTTCCATGTTACATTAAGAGAAAAAAAAAAAGAGAATAAAACTAAGAATAAACGAGCCAGGTACAGATAATGTCTATGAAGACCTAATACCTTTGAGCAGAGGTGGGGAGAGTTCTAGAATATGTCTCTAAATACTGTAAAATGTACTTCAATATAAGTAAAAAGTAAAAGTACTCTGAGTAAACGTTACTGCATTACATTTTGGCGGTGGTGGTGAGGGGCATACACTACTGTTAAGTGGAACAAAATCAGCAACAATACCAAACAACACTTTGCAGCCTGTTTATCGACTAAATAAACTCCAGAATGGAGACAAAACTCAGACACTTGTCGATCGATTATAAAGTTTCGGGAGGTTTTTAATAAGGTATTTTAAAGCTCAATCTTTTAAAGAGAAGTGATTATCAAAGCCGGTCCTATGCCTGAGAAAATATAAAACTTTTTGTCATAGATGACGACCTTTGTAACAAAATAAAGCAGCTTTCACTGAACTTTCCAAAGAACTCGTGATCTAAATTCATCCGTTCATCTTCTACTCAAGTATCAACCTTCTCTTTCATGTACAACCAGCACATCTCATCAGCATCTCCTCTTGTTGCCACAATTACTTTTACCCTCTGCCCCTCCACTGTCGCATCTTGTCTTGTCAATCATCATGCAAATTAAACATTACTAATAGGCGCTAACAGCAATTGTTCTCCATTACATGTGTATAAGTAGACATGAATGAAGTCTTTGTGAATGCACATCAGACAGTGCGGGAACAGAGGCCATGTAGGTCAGTGTTTGCGATTTCTATGAACTAGGCTCATGACATTTTGGCAGAGGGGCAAAAACACAGGGGCAAAGAGCACCTGGTCTTTTATCTGAAAGGGTAACTGGGCCACGGCATCGCAGGAGGGGTACAATCCAGCTGGGCACCCAAATGAGTCGGGCAAGGACGGCGAGAGCAGCGGTGAAGGTTCGAGGGCGGGAGGGTGAAGAAAGCTCTGCAAGAAAAAGCAGCACACAAGGTTCAAATAGTCAAATACTGCCACACTAACTGCGAAAAACATAAACTAAAGGTCAGACTAGATCCACACAGGAGCCCGGATGTGAACTAATTTTCAGATGTTTGATTCGTTTTGTCCAGGTTTATCTGATGATAAAAAAATAGTACATGACAAATTAGGTTATTTTGCTCTTTCCCTAAATGTGAAGTTGTCTATATGTAAAGTAGCCAGTAGGCCAAGTCACCTGTGTGATTACACACACACAGCACAGGTGTGGATGGTAGTCCACTTGAGGAAGAATAGCTTCAGCTTGATCACATAGTTGGTAGAAAGGTCGTATTATACAAAACAGTGAGTCATCAAAGTCCTTCGCAGCTCTTTCAGCTCAACCTGATCAGCAGGCTCCTCCCTTAAAGGGAGGCAGAGGGCTTGAAGCCACATGAATTAATCTGACAGCGTCCGGCTCCTGGCTGAGAAAAGCATCATTAGGACGGACAGCAGCGCTGCTGGAAGGCAACACTCATATTCTGATAAACTGCTGCAGCACAGAGATTTTAAAGTTTGGATATGATTTATAGATTATGCAGTTTATGAGTGGCACATGTAAGAATAACAGAGTCCATTGTTAGTGTGTTTTATTATGTCAGAATCATTTTTTTTTGCTTCAACCTACAGTTCTAACACCGATTACTGATTTTCACTCTAGTGTAATTGACCCTTTACATAATTTGACAATGTTTAAATATTTCTATCAGCTTCAGTTGATAAGTTACAACATACTGGGAGGTGATAAATGACAAAATACACTTCCAGCGAATATCATATAAAAACCCAAACAAGACACAAAGCAAGAAATAAATACAGACATTGTTCCAAACATTCACATTTACAGTATTTTTCTTGGAATAGTTGCAATCATAATTTGAAGCCATATCAAAAACTGTTAAACCCCCCCCCCCCCTTGACAGGAAATCAATCACAGTTAAACTACTAACTCATGATAAATCACATAATCAGTATCTGACCGCACAAACCCACGAAACAGCTTTCACTGCTGATCAAGAAGGCCGGAGACTGAATTCAAAGATAAGCTCTTTCACAAAGTGCTCCTCGGATACGACGAATGCAGCTAGTGCAGATATATACTCTATATCAACGCTCATTACAGCAATTTATATTATTTTCAGAATCATCATTATATTAGATTTACGTAATTCATGGACAAAACAAACGAAACAAACAAGCGGAGCATCCAATCAGGCACAACAAATACCCTGAAGTGAAATAATACACAGCAAACATATGGGCTGCTGGAGGAGGAACTAATTAATGATTAAAGTGAACAATAACCCTGATTTACTGCATCTCCATTGGGGGGGGGAGACATTCAATCAAGCTTTAAATTAGATAGTGGAGGTTTATTACTACTACAGACTCTTATTGGATCTGTACTTTGGATGTATTTACCACAAAACTTCACTGAACTATCAAATTTAGCAACTCAGAAATCACTTGTTATCTCAAGATCATTGGTTGTATCAGATGTTGAGCACACCTGGTGAAAACAGATGGAGTGCTTCACTTCACATTAACACGGTTAGATCCTGTTTTTGTAGAAGTTTTTATCAGAAACTCAAGATCCTTATGGTCATGGAGGAGATTGAAAAGGTTGTGGTTGCGGACGATTTGCAGGAAAACTTGAGCGGTTAAATGAAAATGTAAGGGCATGCTTTATGGTACATCTACTGTAAGCATAGAGTAACTGCACCATGCTCGAGAGTGAATATGTTAGTCTTGTGTTGTGACTCCATAAGGGCTGTATACTAAGCGATAACTAGCATCTGGCTAACATTTGAGCTTTGCTGCATGTATGTGCTGTACAGCTTGTTGAACACACCGCAACATTTACGCTGTGAACAGGATATGAAAACATTCGACGCTGAGCTCCACTGTGGGAGTTCTTCGGTTGGAGTGTCCGTCTGGTGGATACGTTCAGGGTCCGTTCATCGAACTATCTCTTGGGTCTGTCAATGTCATCGATGGCCGCCAGGAGTTTCTGGCGAGCCTTCTTGTTTATATGTGAACCCAGACAAACGTTCACCAAGTTGGCGAGCTGCTTCATGGAGTACTCCTGCACAAAGTCAAAAAACGTGAGTCAGCAAAACATGCCGTTAGCATGAGGCTACTAGCGACATGCAGGGGTTAACTACCTAAAGGAACAGTGTGTTGCATTTTGGAGGATCCATTTGCAGAAATGGAATATAATATAAATAAGTTTTCTGTCGTCTCACCCTGTGATTCTTGATGAACTGCTCCATGTCATTCTCAGTAAGGTAATAGGCCTTGATGTAGGTCTCAACGAACTCTTTATCAGGAATGGGTCGCAGGTCGGTCAGCTTCTCCAGCTTCATGAGGAACTGTTGGAAGTCCAGCTGCATCAGGGCCCGGCCCTCGTTGCTGCATTTCTTCACATTAGCATAGCTGGAGGACAAAACAGCAGAGAGAGAGAGGAGGAGATTAGCATTGCTCAAAGTATTCAGGTAGCGGTAGGTAGGCAATGACTGGAAAAGCAAGTGCATTCTGTGCCATTTTCCTTTTGATTCATGAAAGTCATCACAGGTGTTGGTCCTATGTGTCTTTTTCACCTTTTTCTACCCATAATGCACTACCTTGCTAGCCACCCAAATCTGTCACTAAACTTGTCTGCGTCTGTATAGTGAGGAGAAAGTCACGAGGCAACTGTTCCCTACTGTGAATTTATTATGTATTAAAAAATGTCTGGAAGATGTGTTTCAGCTCGTCAGCTGCCAATTTCTATCACCATTTCATTCAAAAGGAAAATACTGTCAAAGCTTCAGCAGCGAAGTAGACAAAGAAACGTGTCGTAATTTAAGTTACGGGAGCAGTCGGAATCCATTAAAGTTTTTAAAAGTGTAAAAAAAAAAAAAAAAAAAAAAAAAAAAAAAAAAAAAAGAGTTGAGAGGCGTGAATGTACTTAATATTTCGGTAAAAGTGCTATTTGTATGAGGAATAATGAAATCTGCATGTCACACATGTAATAGAGCAGTCGACCAAGACTTTTTGGGTTTTTTAAATGCTTCAATTTTATGCACAACACCTTGTTTGTGTGACATTTGTTTGTTTCATTTCATATTGTTTGTCTTTGCATGTGTTGGATTCTATCAGGGTTTTTGGTTTTCTTCCATCTTGTTTCGTGACTATTTGGACAAGCAGGTTATACGCATGTGTATGACAGAATCAACTCAAACTCAAATAAAAGGTTAAAAGTAATCCCAAGTAGATCATTCTAACACATTTTAAGACTAGTAAATGCAGTGTGTATGTATTGAAAGGCTTACATGAGTCCTTATGTCCGTGTCTGCATGTCTTATATTAAATATGAAGTCAGGTTGTTCTGTGCCATGTCAGTAAAAGTGTGTGTGTGGGCTCGAGTACACATGTATTTCAGTGTGTGTGTGTGTGTGTGTGTGTGTGTGTTGCAGGTGTTTGGCAGAGGGGGACTGTTGGCAGGTCAGTGTCAGTGACATTAGTACATTAACACACCACACGGACAGGTCTGCTCTGTCTCACACTTTTTTGCGTTTCTCTTTTCTGTTTCCATTTCCTGCCTCAGCCTCTCTCTCTTTCTCTCTCTCATCACCTCTCGCTGTCATCCTCACTCTCGCTCTCTCTCACTCTTCTGCTTGTCAGGCCTAACAGAATTTGCCGCCGAGTGTTTGAGCTTCGGCTCAGAATGCTAACGGAGCCTTTTCTGCAAGTCTAAGGTAAGACGAGCGCTGGACAGAGAAATTGAATAACAGGCTGAGCGAATCGGAGTGGAAACAAACAAATATGAATACTTCTCCTTAGTGTGCCAGAGGAGTGGGAGATATACGTGTGTGTGTAGAAAGAATATACTGGTAGAATCAAACAGACGGTTTGCTGAGCATCGCAGTCGTAATGGGCCATTTGCTCATTGGAAAGGGTTTAAAAGTTCTCTTATGCTCAGCAAACGTGCTGAGAGGTAAACATGTTCCCTGTTCTCAGTGGGTGAGGGCAAACCCTCCACCTCCAATGTTCTCTCTTCTTCTTTAAACACTTTGCCAGCAAGGGAGAAAGTGGTGAAATGCATTACATGGGATGTGTCGAGAGCATTTTACGGTTTGTGTGAGTGGCCTGTGTCATGCAATTCCCCGATGTAGAGATGTCTGACTGGCACAGAGGAGTTTTGCCAGCATGAGGACTGAAAATGGCAGCAGGAACTTAGAGTGGTTTTCTTTTGGGGATTACTCCAAAGGAACCTGGTAACAGAGTCTGCAGGTCTCTTATGTACTGTAGGTAATTTCCCCTTGTCTTCATGGTGCTTGACTACATGCTTTGGAAATATATATTTTTTCTTTTTCAATTTATGATGTGCAGATGTTCAAAGCGAGGGATAAACAAAGACAGACATGAAGAAGAGGGAAAAATTCCACTTCTCCTCGATCACTATCGCTGCAATGCGATGACTCACAAATGCTGTTTGGTTCAGTGTACTAGCGTAGGGACTCTAACCTGTAACCGGAGAGTAAAGAGATGTTTGAAAGCAAAAAAAAGGCTGTCATAACAACACATGACAATTGACTTACAATGTCCCATGGTTGAGAGAAATAAACCACTGTTGAGGTTGAGCAATCTTTGCATGTGAAAAAGCTGTTATTTGTGTGGTGATTGATGCACATTTAGAGCTTTATTAAAACTTACTTCAATTGTTTTTCCCGGATAAATAGACAACCTAGTACATTGTACACTTCAAGTGTCAAACTGCTTTTCTGAGACACTGACACGGATGGAAAATATGAAACTGTGTTTTTCTACAGAAGTTAAAACAATAATTCATAGTGACCAAAATAAAAATAAAAAGCTCTGGCTGCAACTTCACCAGAATGATGCCAGACTGCACAAACATCCCGTTGATGCTGAAGAGGTGTTTTATGACGTCCTTACCCTTCTACTAGAGTCCTGTTGGCCAGGCGGATGCAGTGCTCCCACAGCACGTTGGACACCGGCAGCGGGATGCGCACATGTCTGGAAACGTCCTGCAACCGCTGGTTAAATTGCTCAAACTCCTGGAAAGGTAGAGGAGAAAATAGATAAAAAACACGTTATGAGTTTGTGCAATAACTTGTATATTAAATAAACACAAACCTATGTACTGTACAAGGCATTTATTAGCGACTGGAAGTCATGAACAAAATAAAAGTCCTCATGAACTCTCTCTCAGCTACTCTCTGTGTTCCTGGATGACATCCAACAGCAGCTCCCCAAACCGACCTCAGAGAAGCGTTATGAAACTACCTCGTGCTGTGCATTGCACAACATCATTATTTACAGACTGTGAATAATAAACTGCATTAGTGGCTTGATTAATCTCTTTCCATAAGTAAAGACGTTTTTTACTTTAAATAGTGCTATAAGTGCATCAAATCAATCAAGGATGAATCGTATGTCCCCAGCCTACAGGACGTCTGCGTTATTGTACAGCTGCTCTGCTTTCACTGAGCAAATCTAATTATTTTGCCGTCTGAACTGATGAACACAACATTTGAAGAACTGAGCAGATCGGGACAGGAAGTATGAAACCACCAAGCCACAAATCATGCGTTTAACAAAAAGAATAATTTGTGCGCTGCTGAGCACTGTAGCTGGGTTTAGAAACATCTCAACCGGACTCGTTCATCAACTTTCTGATGTGCATGCAGGCTCTTACAGTCAGGTCTTAGGGCTCTTTTAATTCATATCTTGTAATGCAGTCATTCACAAAAACTGGGTTGGGACCCACACGTGGGGTTGCAGGAGATTTTATTACGGTCACCAAATAAATTTGTGGAATTTATTCCACATTCTTTAATTTAACATTTATATCTGCAGGACACTTTTGGAGACACATGAAGGGTATTTTTAATAACACATGCAGGAAACAAAGTTGTGTTTATCTCTTAGAAATGGCTGTTTGTGAAAAACCGCTCTATTACACACCTTAGATTACATTTAAGACGTTTTTTTGTCACATCTCCGCGGCACGTTATCTCATCCTTTCTTGTTACAGAAAAACATTTTCATGGCCAAGCACATAAAAAGGATACCAGCCATGAGGGTATTGTTACAACAGCCCTCCAAAAGGTTCTTTCTTTTATGTTCTGACACAAAAACAAGTGAAACGTCTCAGAGGAAGGTGCAGGCTGCAGGACACAAAGATGTACTACACAGCTTTGGTGTTGTGCCATGTTTTGATGCTTCTTGTTTGTAGCCATGAACACTCTACACAGCGTAGAGCGATGCCAAGCACTTGGCTGTGTACTCACTGCACTCTCAAATGTTACATTATGGATGATATCATCCCATTAGGATATTATGTTGCAGTACATACAGACTGTACATACATATGATGGATGTGTCTCAGGAGTATGTGGTTTTCTAATTTCTTTACTACCTTAATTCAAACCGTGTCATATTGAAAAACGAGGTTGGATTTTAAGGCATATAGAGCTGCCATTCATTTTTGCAGCAAAGAACGAAATGTTATTCATTCACAAACGGCTCCACAATAGTTTCTGGCTGAAGCAGTTTGTTAATGAAGTCATTCTGAGGCTGCCGCATTTCCTTGCCACTATATATGCAAATCAATGCCATTGTTGAATGCTAGTGATCAACCTGAACTCATGAATAAAATATTCTCCTGTATGCAGTTTAACAAAATGTAGCACACTCTTTTCAATCAATGCACATAACACAATCGCGATGCATTATGAGTGTCTTGACAAGTTGGCAGAGCAGAGAGGTGCTATTAGCAGCTGATGAGGAAAAGTAAATGCTAGATGTAATATGCACCGTGTCAGCCCATCAGCTGGACCATTTTGACACCTTTGGGCAGTTAAGCCAGGCCAGTGAGACAGAGATTTCCCCTGCAGGCTGTTTAGCTCGTATGTTTATGCGCTCATTAGTTCCACTTAAGTGCAGAGCTGCCGGAGCCAAAGATCGTCGAGCCATTCATGAATTCAAAAGGTGAGTTTGAGGCGATGACTAAACTGTAATTGAATATGTATATATTTATTTATCTATTTCAACAACATCTCTGTTTTGAACTGTAATTAAATCAACAGCTTCCTAAGACGTGCTGATGCATATTATGGGGATTTGTCTTGGTTTGGTGCTGGTCCGTTCCGGATTTCAGACCGCAGCCCTTCAGACCTCTTAGTCTCTGAACGCCAGAGGTGAGAAAACCAGTGCTGTGTGTTCTTACGTCCCTTGCAAAATTCATAATGGGAAGTGGCCAGCATGCATACAGCAACAGATTTAGTGGAAAACTTCCAATTCCAAAGATACGTCAGGAATTCAAATGTCTTTAAGAAAGCTGAAACTTCAGGAGAGATCTGCATTCAACTCTCCACAGCTCCCCCACCCCGTTCTACATTATTCACCCCGTCCCAAAGAATAAATATTAAAAAGGTCCCTGAATGAATTCAAACTCAAGATGGGTCAACAAGGAACTTAAGAGTTCTTGAATTGAAGTGGAATATAGAAGTACACTTTATGTAAATAGAACAGATGTTAAAAGGATAAACCCAGATTGCATTTCTCAAATAAAACAAAAACACCGTGAGGAAAATCTCCCGCTAGATAAAAGCAAATCTATTACAGCTGCCTTGTGTGTGTTCTACTTTTTGTTAATGTGGATAGCGCCATACACAGAGAGGGCTGCAGTGTACGCCATTTGTTTTGGGGAGAAGAATAAACATTGGGACAGAACTTTTACTTATTATACTTAATATAAAAAACACTACAACAGAAGAAATATATATATTTCAACAAGGATACCACGAGTATTAGAACCATCATTCATATTCAGCTGACAAAGAGCAATCTTAATGGGGAGGTGTTTGAATATTATCTCTATGAAATGTGAGAAGAAGCTGTTCCAATGAAGTCTCCATTCCTGTCTTTGAACATGATCTTAATGCACAAAGCGTTAATATTAACAGATAAAATGACTACATGTAATGTGAAACGGGTCAATCGTAGTAACAGATGTACAGATGATTATGAACTGACTCTGTAGTTTCCCTGAGCTTCACAGAGCGTTAGTGTTTTTCAGCTCATTGTTTTGAATAAAATAATGCTGCTTTAATGATTCATTCCCATCCTTTTTAGATCTAACCTACATGATCGCACATCAAATGTCACATCAACACTCACCTACGCATTTTATATGCAACATTACCTTTAACAGGACGTCCACATACACATTATGCTGCGACATTATCTCTCTGATGTCCCATTTAACGCCAGCCATCAGGAGCAACATTTGTTCGTAGTCGATGGCCTTTGCTGCAACAATCCAGTATATTGGTTTCCGAAGTTCGCTGGCTGTAGACACCGTCTGAGAGAAGGGAGAATACACGTATGCGAGTTATATTCAACATGTTTTTTGAGTTTTATGTATGCAGTAAACACCGTATGAGGCAAACACGAAGTAAAGGTCTCTTTGATTTCGCTTCGATCGTCATCAGTTGCACAATATTTCAAAAGAGTGAAATCACAGGACATGACATTCATTTGCTGATTGGGGGAAGATAGACCTGTCTGTGTACCTGAAAGTTTCAAATGTCAAGTGGACAACAAAAAAAAGAAAAGACGGGGAAAAGGCTGCCGGCGAGGTCATGAGTGACAGAATATTGTCTCGGTTGAGAACAGCACTGCATGCTGGGTTGCAGTTACACGGTCACTTATCTTTACAGAGAAACAGGCTTTTAATTAAACAAAGCAAAAAGACGAAGGGTGATGGCTACAAGTAAAAAAGTAAATGCAACTGGAATGTTTGTTTTAGTGAAAGACACTATGCCTATGCTACATTATGTTTTAATTAATGCACAATGAGTTGAAAGATGCGTGTCTCTTCCTTATGTGATTAAGAATTATTCATCATATACAAATAAAATGAATTAAAACTGGTTTGTTATGCTTTTCAAGCCCCAGAGGCAGGAACATGATGAACAAGACATTACTGTAATTGCACAAACTTTAGAGAGCAGGTGCAAGTATACCTGGGAATAAAACTGTTGCAGGAAAGGCTTCTTTGCTGCAGGCATCATTGTGTCCAGGTGGGACTGGAGGGATTCAAACTGTTCGGCCAGAAACACACTGAGAGAAGAAACAGAAAGCCATTTAATTTGACGCAGAGGCGGCATAATGCGACACATAAAAACAAAATGAGTATGTGTTGTTTCTGTATTACCCAAGAGAGGCAGATCGATCAACTAAAGCTGATATTACTTTTGATTGAGGACCGGATATTTCGATGTTACCTGTTAATATGATGATGTGAATAGATAAGAAATGCTCATCTGCACAAATGTTATCTCTGCTTCCCTTCCCTGACGCTAACCTGTACCAAGATGTTGCAAAAGTATTCTTTCAGTGTAATTACTTGCACCATTCTCCCTGTTGCAGCGATCTAATTCCTTCCGCGTGATCATTACAAATCTAATGTGATCAATGATTAAGTTGAACATAAACTTTCCTCGAGTATCTCAGTTCTGCACTTTGCGAAAGCTGCCTCTGATTCCAAAGCTCACAAAGAAAAGCAAAGAATCATTTCTATCAGGCAACAGGGATTTTCAAAAATGAATGGATTTCAATTATCTTGAAAAATACTGTGACTAAGTAACAGAAAAGGAATTACAGGGCAAAACAAAATCAATGCGGACAGAAATAATACCCCCATATTCCACTGTGACTAAATAAAGGCCACTGGACTCACGCCGATCGATGGTTTTATAGTTGTACCGTACACTAAATGAAAATGGAGGGAGTCCAGAGTTTAATGTGTAGAGCGCGCCTCACACAGAGATTTCTTTAGAGCTCCAACAACACACCTGATTGAACGGTGGAATTTAATATAAGAAAACAACTCAATGTTGTCCTGCCCCAGAGTCATACACTCCCTGCCAGTGGGACCGAAAACTACGCTGTCACTCCGAACATCTATCTGCCTGTGTCTTAATCGATTGACAGGAATCTTTCTGTTTTTATACCAACAAGAAGATTTATGTTTTTTTTTTTTGTTTTTTTTTTAAAAGGGTGGGATATAGGATTTTAAAAACACAAGTAAACATTGTGGCTGAATCATTTACTTCGATCATTGTGATGCGTAATCGGGAGCTCATTTTGGATGCATGGGGACTAAGCTAAGTCAGTATTTTCTTCTTAAAGTAAATTTCTTTTCAGATCTGGCCATAAATAGATGATCTGTAAGGATGCTGCACGACAGTGAACACTGGTAACCCCAACAGAAATCTTTATATTTAAAGCAATAACACAGATAAGTGCCACCTGGTTAACGCTAAATCTGAAAACACTACATTAAACACAGCCAGCACCCCCCCATAAATGAGCACAGTAGACATTTATTCTCTTCATGGTGCAGAGAAAATCACATTAAGGTTCGCTGGAACAGCTTGTGTTTACCTCGGCAACATGCAGTCAGGTAAGAAAAAGCACACCCTGCAGTTCACACTTATCTGATCACGCTTGTATAAATAGGACATCTGAACAACAGCAGGATGGGCAACTGACAGAGCTCTTATCTTCAATTTCTGCTCATTGGTTTGTCCGTGGTTTAAAATGGCACGTGCTTAAGATGTCAGAGGCACTCACAATACACGCTAAGGTTAGCTGCCTTTTCTAATCACACTTTTTCAAACTTTCCATGCAGTTCTGCCCAGAATAAGTCTGAATCCGTTCACACCAGGGGACCTTTTCCTTTCAAACTTTACCCAAGAAAGACATTTCTTCACCTCTGCACTTTAGCTCTTTTACTTTCATTATTCTTCGGAGCTTGTTGGCCACGTCCGATACATGAAAAACTGTGTGGGAGAGAGTGTAGGCCTATTCAGCACTTCTGCAGTGGTGTCATCTGGGCCCTTGGTTTACAGACTTTCATTGTAAAGCACTTTGTTCACTGCAGACTTCTCAGGGTCCAAGAGTTGTTGCACTGACAGTTTAACCTAATTATGTACGATTGTGCGCGGATGTAATAGACCAAGATAAAGAGGGAGAGCAACTACATAGGCGGCGCAAGAGGGAGAAAATAAATTCGTAAGTGAGCCACTGATTGCTAGAGTCAGACAAACAAATAGCAAATTATAGGGAGAGCCCTAAGAATTCTAATTAGGGGTAAATGAAGTCTCTCTGTCTCTATTTTCTATTTCAATTATCTTTTTAGGTAATGCAAATCTTTGATGGCCAGGCTGAATAATCAGCTTCTTTAACTTGAAAAGAGAAAATGCTTTGATAGAAATAACTGCCAAGTTACATCACACAAGTAATGACATGAAACAAGCCGTCACAATCGTCTCCGCCATACCAGAGGAATAAAGACCAATAATGCTGCGCGCTGTCTTAAAGTGCAACTAAATGATGTATTTTAAAATCATTTAGATCGTTGGTTTACTGGAGTGTTGTGTAGAGAGTACTTACAGAGACTCAGTGGCCACCACTCTCTGTGCGAGCCCATAAAGAGTCCCACCGTTAGTGAGGACCACCAGTTGGCTGAGATGGGGGCTCGGCACCTTCTCCTTTCTGTCCTCTGCTGCACTGTGGACCGTTACATTCTCCCCCACTGCCTC